ATTTGCAATTTTTTCTTTTTTTTTACATTTGGCTTTACTCCACTAAACATGCAATATTAATCTTGAAACCAATTCATTAACTGTAGTACTTACAGTGATCTATGTGAGTTGCTATTGCTGTTCGCAAGCCATAATTAAGAAATAATTCAGTTTCTTGTCCGTCATAGTCGATCGAAACCATGTTTTCAATTATTTCATTTTAATTAGATCTCTTTTTACCTTCAGCTGAATTAACTGGAAAATTCGTACGACTTAGCAGGTCTCTGTGTTATTTCATATAACATAGCATAATTTTTAAGGATAAAAAGAGACCTATTGATTCTTCTACGCTGTCCCGTACTCTAAACTAAACTAAACAATTAAATAATTAAAAAACTGAAAGCCAGCCTTTATAATTCACATAATTATCAAGCTTTCTCTTAAACTCATTTAAATTTACTACCTCCACAACAACCAAAGGCAACCCATTCCAGAGACCAACCACCCTGTTAGAAAATTTATATTTGTGTCCCCTAGTCCTGTCATTCTCATCATTAAGTCTGAAAAAAGATGATGCATCAAAACTATCAATTTCATTAACAATCTTAGACACCTTAATCAGATCCTCCCCAAATTTTTTTTTTCAAGAGGAAACAATTTCAGACGCCTTAACCTCTCCTCGTATGACAATCCCTCCATTCCAGGCACCACTCTAGTAGCCCTTCTCTGAATCCTTTCCAATAGTTCAATGTCCTTCTTAAGGTAAGGAGCCCAATACTGAACACAAAACTCCAAATGTGGCCTAACCAATGGTTATGAAAATATAACCTGTTTAACTTATATTCAATGTTTCTGTAGATACAACCTAAAATTCTATTTGTCCTACCACTAGAAACAGCACACTGCTTGGCTGGCTAATGAGACTGATCAACCATTAAACAAAGATCACTTTCTTTCATAACACCATTAAGGTTATTCCCATCCAAATTATACTTATAATTCAAATTATGATAACCCACATGCATTATCTTGCATCTATTACAATTAAAACCCATTTGCCATTTATGTGCTAAACTCATTAAATGATCTAAATCCTTTTGTGAAGCAGCAGCCTCACGGCCAGCAACACCCAAGACCTTGATATCATCAGCAAGTTTAAGTAATATATAGGCCATCCTTTCATCTAAGTTATTGATGTAAACCAAAAAAGAGCAAAGGCCTTAAGACTGAGCCCTGAGGTACCATACTTGTAACATTAATCCAGTTTGCCTGAATTCCATTTATAACAACTCTCTGCTTCCTTCCATCCAGTTGCTCTTCTATCCAATTACTTAACTTATCCCCTATACCAATAGGGATATTTTTTTACAAGCCGTTTATGTAGCACCTTGTCAAATGCTTTCTTAAAATCTAGATACACCAAAGACTAATGTGTAAGACTACTAATTACTGAATTACAGTCTCCAGGTGTCACCTTATTTTACTTAAACACTTAAATATAGTTTTAAATATACACATATTTATCCATTTCTAAAGTAAAATATCCCTAACACCTTTTCACATACACTCTCGCCATCGGTTACACTGTACCGGAAATGAAATGCTTATAACAGCACACAGAGAAATAGACTAAACATTTCCTGGAAAAGCGGATGACCTTCATGACTTCACCAAACTCCCTTTATATATATATATCACTCATTCGATTACAGCACCATTCCCAGTTTGCCCCTGAAGAAGGAAGGTCCACCTTTCGAAAGCACTCGGATTATAGGGGTTTTATTCATTTCTATCAAGACTTCTTGAACCTATGTGTTTTTCTAACATCAGAATTGTTTTTATTATATGTTAATAATATTCCGGATTTATTATCTATCTATTTAAATAAATATATATATATATAGTACAAACATCTGTGTATGTCTATTTGTTCGTTATCAAACTACTCTTAGGTCGATGGGCCAATCTCAACCAAACTTTGTGGGATGATAGTTGAAGAAAAGAAGCATGTTAATGGAGATTAACAACCCCTCCACTTTATTATTTCTGTTATTGAGCATTTATTATCTTTGACGTAACTATTTTTATAGTTAATTAAAAAAATAGAAATATTACAATAGATCTGTCAATTAGTGTTATTAAATATACTGTATGCTGTTACTTTATTTACTTATATGTTTATTTTCTTAAAAAAAAGAAATTAATACCTTCCTGCTAGAATAGAGATACGCTTTGTGCAAGCATTCTTTTTTGTGTGTGGATGTCTACTTTTTGTATATTAGATTGATTGTAGTTAAAATATATTATATTGTTTTGTCTCTGTTCGTTTGTTAATTTCCCGTAAAATTTCTTCCCGAAGAACTTCAGCGATACTTTAAGTCCTTTCTTAAATAAAACTAGTTTATTCTTTTTCAATGCAACTTTGCAATACACAGAATTTCCACAGTCACTTTAACTTAAACACACGCTATAATTCCCAACGATTCATGCACTTTACTTACGACTTGACTCGATTATCTGTCTCTATCTCTTCAATCTGTAATTATTCTCATTCTGATCCATTTTCTGGCGCACTTATATACAAGAACAGAGAGCATGTAGAAAAGACTATAGTTCCCACACACAGACATGATCCTTCTAGAATCTCATGACGTTTTACTAGTGTCACGTGACTTCCGCTGTCGTAACAATATTTAAAACATATTGTATTATCTAGTATGTGAGTAAAATTGAATTGAATTGAAGATCCAATAGGCATTGTCATCTTGAAAGTAAGTTTTGCAGGAATTATAACCACTGCCAGTTGTCTCTTCTCTAGCAGCTCTTTGCCAGGAGAATGGCTTCTGTTTAGAAATAAATGTTCTTCACTCGGAACATTTCAAACTCTGCCGTGTGACCTGTGTCAGAAAGCTAAGCTCATTATTGAAGAAAAGGAATGCAGTCTCTCTCTTCACATGTCCACTTATGCAAAGAGGGAAACAGACTTTCACCAGACATGATCAAGAGTGACAACCTAAGGATAAAATTAAACATAATTCACTACTGGATACGTCCTGCTCACTCTAAACATCTGGCTAAACATAGAAAACTGGTAGTAAAATTAAGTGAAATATATGTCCTATATGACAACCTCTCATCATGAGACAACCAGGTCACCATAAAACGTTACAAATCATATACTTGAACACAATGTTCTCTTGTGGCCTGTTTATCTGATGATGGTGAGTGAAAGGTAGCAATTAAAGTCATTTTCTTCTGAGTTGAATTTTATCCGTGTTTAACCAGCAATAAAAACAATTAAAATTACCTGATTTTATACAAATAAAATGTATTCATTTTATAAGATATAAAGGAGTCATCATCAAG